TTGTTATATGTGATAAATCGAATTTGTATATGTGATAAATCAAATTTTATATGTGATAAATCAACCATAAAACAAAAATCGAATTATGAAACAAAATACATGCCATAATAGACCCTCTCAGCAACAGTTTCTGATCATGGACTACAGTACATGCAATGTATCGTTTTCAAATGTTGAAATGTATGTAGTAATAGTATTATATGTAGAGCAAGCATAGCTTCTTCGTTTCTGCCGTTCCATATTGGAACATCCTCCACGTTTCCTTCTCCTTTCGTTAATTGTAAAATTGATGCTTTTTATACTGCAATCTGCAGTTTTGATCTGTCATATATCTCTCCATCTAATCCCTACTATTACTACGACTAAATACAATAATGTTACTCAACAAGAGTAGGGGGTAGTAACCCTACTCTTGTTGCGTTACGTTATTGTATCTCTCTGTAACTAATTATTATGAGGTTACAGTGAATCTTGCTAAATCACTGTGTAATGCATAACAGTGTTTTACACAGCACAGTACACACAGTGCACTAATGTGTGTGTGTGCGTGCATGCGTGCGCGCACATGTGTGTATATATTGTATTGTATATCACAAAGCCCTTGATTTATCAATGCACATTATGTATTCTCAGATATCTCAGAACAACCAACAATCATGCAAATTACTGTGAAAGCATTTACGAAGGACGAGATCCGTCGGTTTGATCTTGTGGGGACAAAGTTTGCAGCTATGCATCAGCAGATACAAGATATCTTCCCAGCATTGAATTCAAGAAATGATTTTACCCTCTCCTGGAAAGGTATGTATGATTATATTGGAACATTATTGTGGTTTTTCAAAGTACATTCATTTAATTGTATTTGTTTGCACATTCACATTTATAATGTAAGTTTCAATTGATTCCCCATGTGCATACGTATCACAACCATGCAACTAGGGGTAGGACGATTCCTCGACATGTAGATGTTACGCAATACAAACCTTAACGATACTCCTAGATATGTTTGACCATTCGTGATACACATATCGATATTCTCCTAACTAAAATCAATATATAGTTTAGTAGCGTAGTTTATCCCAAAGCAAAATAAACATAATGCAATTCACAAGTCCATAGCGGTTATATACTATAAGCCTTGATTGGTAAGGTCCCGGTTGAGTGTGTAGTTTGCTAGGTAGTTTCTCTTGAAAGTGTCGTGATACGTATCGTACAATGCAGGCTGTATCGTGATACGGATCGTATCGTGAGCTACCTGTATCGTCCCACCCCTAGTAGCAACTGAGCAGTGGTTTAAGCAGTCGTTAAGCTCACTACACACCTACCTGCTACCTCTAAGTTTTCTCGGGCTTCTGCTTTGCAGATGAGGATGGAGATGAAGTTAACTTCTCCAGTGATGCAGAGCTGTCGGATGCCATCAACTATATGCAACTCCAGCCAGATAACAAGAACCTGATGCGTGTGTATGTTAAAGGTAAGAGTACGCTGTCATCACAGGTGTTTGTTATAGCATAACTAACCAGCTAATATGCACGAGTATACAATAAAGTATTACATGTTTAGTCATGCTATTATGTACGATCCACTGTGCAGTGCAAAATTACATGTTAGTAGATATAACCATAGGAATCGTGGCACTTCACACTTATTTCTCTACTATATATTTTGGTTATTTGCTGTTGGTTTCACAAAGGAGTGAGCCGAGCTTCGTGATTTCACAGGTGCTGCTTATGCTAGTGCATTTCTCTGTTACGTTTTCTGGTTAAATGAGACATTTTTTTTCATTTTTGCTTTGCGCAGTCCCTGAGGCCGTCGACGCATGCGATGGGTCCGGAGCGGAACATGTGGGCGTGGTGTGTGACGCATGCGAGGGACGGGTGCTCGGCATCCGCTACAAGTGCATGATGTGCCCCGACTTTGACCTGTGCGCGACCTGCGAGAAGAAGGGTCTCCATGAAGAGCATGACATGATGCGCATCTGCACGCCACGCCAGGGCCACAGCCCGCACATGCCGTGGGCGGTAAGCACGCTACGCTGACTTACGCGAAGCCGCTCACGCACTGTCTCACGCGTTGTTTTAGCCGGGCCTTGTACTGGTGGTTTCCATAAAGATTCGAGAATTTCAGGCAAAGTTCCCTTACAATTGTAACGAGTTGGGTTTTCGTAGTATAGGCACAATTGGTCTTTCCTTTGTTCTAGTATATTATATATATACAGTGTTTTCCCTTGCCAAAAAGGTCAGCGAGGCGGTAAAATTGTTTCGGTGGTTGCGCAATGCGAACACCGAAGGTGATCGCCATGCTAGGGGGGTTCCGGGGGCATGCTCCCCAAAATTTTTAAAAAAAAGGTGCAATTTGGTGCATTCTAAGCTATTCTGAACACATATATATGAGACTCTTGAATCACTTTTTAAAGTTGTCAAAAGGAACAAACAAGCTTCTAGGAAATGTTTTACTTTCGTTTTTCTCCTCCCCAGTCCTCGGTACCCCCATGCATAGATCAATGCTGCCGCATATCCGCAAAGTTACAAGTGCCTAGAATCTTGAAGTATATACAGTTTACATTTCTTCTAGATATCTAACTGAATAAAAATAGTCGACTTTCTACGTAAATAAAAGTGCCGAATTCAGTTAACAGCTTTGATTACGTGTGTATAAGGTGTCACTGGTCGTGCCCTCACTGCCCACGATAACCCCTGCGACATATGAACTTATTGTTATGCGGTCATAAAAACACTGGGCTACGCTACAGGCCGCAGTCGATTTCTTAAACTGTCACGAGGTTTTGTTATGCGCTGAGGGAGTTTATGCCCTCGGCTTTAGATGTTTTGGATATCCTGTCTACATTCAGGAACGGAGCGTACTAGAATGCTAATACTAGAGAGCATTCTAATACGCTCCTGTTTACAAGTGTCTAAACTGCCGTTGCGATAACCGTAGTATTTCAGCGTAATATGAGGGGAAAAAGTGCCGGTCAGGAGGACCGGCAGTTTCGTAGAGATGGTGGCCGAAGCAAAAACTTGGTGGCCTCGGGCTTCCGGGTCGGCACTAATTTCGAACGCTGTCAATAAAGTGTAGTTTATTGATGGAAGAACAGTGATTTTCGTCAGCGAGACGGTGTTTTTGGATAAATTTCTGCATGGCGGGTGAGATTAGAGCGAGGCGGCTGCCTCGCTCGTGCCAATGCAGGGGAAACACTGTATATATATATATACACAAATATATACATGTGATTGAGATTGAACATTTTGGTTGTAAAAGTTTAGGTACATTACTGTAAAAGTAGAAGAATGATATGTGAACAGTGTAATTCTGTGAATATACTACCCTGGCCAATCTGGAAACAGTTCTAAAATATCCCAATTCTATTTGTAGGACTTCACCCCGCCCCATTGGTTCCGCCATTGGATGCGCGCTGCTCGTGGTAGAGGCCGTGGTCCGTGGAATGGTTGTGGAGGTCCTGGTATGCAGCATGGTCCACATGGAGTGCCACCGGGAGCAGCCCCCCCAGCAGATGGAGCCACCCCTAACAAGGGCGCAGATGGTGTAGATGCTTCAGCTGAAGAATATCTAAAAACTGTCGGCGAAAATGTTGCCGCCATGTTGGATCCATTGGGTATGTATATGTGCGAATGAGATGCAAATGCGATTATTCTAGAAAGTGAAAGCTTACATTGACACAGTCGCGTATTTGTTCGTCTAGAAAACCTGCACGTTAATCCACTTGGCTTGGTTGTTCTCGTGGTCACGCTCTATGCTGAATATGCCCATAAAAACGCATTCGTTTTGACAGCTTCTACGAAATTTGCATTCTCGTATTTACACGTGACGGTAGTCGAGCAGAAAATCTATCAGTTGTGGTGTTGCGATGGGGCTTGTAGTAGCACCGAATGCTAAATCAAAATTTTCACGTTTAGGCATCAGTGTTGACATCGACGTCGAAACAAATGGCAGGCGGATGGGAGCCGGGCACTGTGGTGGCCCACGTCATACACCCCAGTTTCCCGGTGGCCATGGTCCTTGGCACGGCAGAGGTAGATATGCGCATTGCACTAGGAATGCGGGGAAGGGTAAAGAAGAAACTAAACAGCCTGAGCCGGAAGAGAAGATGGAGACTGGCGAAGGAAGCCCCAAGAAGGCCAAGCAGGTCCCACAGAAAAATGCTGAGGTAGGCACGGTAAAAATTCAGAAACACATACACCATGCATTTTCAATTTGGTAACATGTGGGAAGTCGCATAACATGTATTGTCTCATAATGTGAATTCAATTGTTATTTATAGACGTTGTTATCGATGAGCTTGCATAGGTGCCTAATACAAATTTGTTTGTTTGCTGACAGGCACCGCAACCTGCCCAGCAAACGGCTACAGCCGAAACAGGCACACCTCCTGAGGATAACAATGGTTGGACCCAATTGACTGATGAAGAAATTAAACAACTCGGTAGTGCAGTCCAGGAAGAGATCACCACAAACAAGGCTCAGGGAAGCACAGAGCAGCCTGCCACGGCCGAGACAGATGATAAAGAGAAGCAAGCAGGGACAGCACAAGCAAATCTGAGTCCAGCCGCCTCCACTGAACAGCAGTCGGGGCAGATGTACCCCAACATTTTGCAGTTCGTTACAACTACAAGTGGTCCACAGCAGCCAGCCAAACCGAGACATGCAGGTATGGGAGTTTCATCATTGTAAGATTGTAGCCATTATGCATTATGATTTTTATTAGGACTTGTCTGATTCTATGTATGAAACAAGATGTGGCTATTATAAGGTTTTTAGCGAATATGTATTGGAGTGTTTCTTTGAACAAAGCAAGATGGCATAGTTAATTGTATTTTTTAATATATAGACATTTTTCCTGTCGATATGTTAGTTTGCGAGAATAAAGTTCAAATACAATTCTGCTAAGTCATGTGAGTGCATGAGGTGTATAATTATGTCTACTCTATATAATCTAATTCCATTTTTATTTCTGACATTTAAGATCCGAGAATTGCTGTAGCACTGGACCAAATGTTTTCAATGGGCTACGTTGATGACAATGGATGGCTGACACATCTACTGGAGGCAAAGAGTGGTGACATCAATGCTGTGCTGGAAGCCATGCAGGGAAACCGCACTACCAACTGAATCAGGGGGACAGGCTTGAAACGGACCTGCCATGCTTTAATTTCACAAGTCCTCCCTATAATCCCGTAATCAAACTCAGTGCACGGATATTACGATGTTCTTTTTTGAGGCCGCAAAATTCGGATGAGGGCTAGCTATCAGGGTTTATCAAATTTAATATGGTAATTATGTTTTTGGATAAAAACTGGTCTGGCAGGTCTGTGTCAGTACTGGCCTGGGGAGCAACCAGCTTTATCTCACACCAGCGTTTATGCTACATGTACTATTCAACAACAGGTGCTTTGGCGATTTGACACCGACGTGGTGACATCCAGCTTGTTGCTCCCTCTAACACGATATTAATCGATATTTATATTTTACTGGTGTGCGGTTAGCTAATAGCTTATGTGCCACTTATATTGTAAGCGGTGTCCAGTAAGTTGCGAGTGGTTGTTGCTGCTGCGCGGCATCACCAATACGAAAGGTTTTGCACCGATCCAGTGTGTCTAGGCCAATGGCCGAAGCTACAAAACTAGACACGTGTGTGCTGGGCATCGCATTAGATGTGTTACGTGAAGTGATAGTTTGGTTTCATGTATCTACCTCTGTTTACTTGCTTGTTACCGTTCAAAAACGCAGCCTCGGTTCGTGCTCGACCCAACACATAATGGTAATATAATCTCAGTTAAGGCGCAATCGATATCAGTTGTTCAAAGTTTATCACCGATTGTTAATCGTTGAAAGTATTAAATTCAAAAATAAAGATAATTTGATCAACTTTACGACCAGCTACATTAATAAGTATTACTAACGGTAAAATTCTGGTGCATATATAATATAATGATGTCGTGTAATCGATGCATCACGTACTACAAATGTACTTTATTATAGTTGTGTGCATATTGTTCATTATTGTGTATTTAACGGGCAAGGCCAGTGCGACTAATAAATCATTACGACTGGAAAATCTACTTTTTTGTTTCATGCATATTTACTTGTACTATTCATATACATATATAATATATACAAGGACATCTCGTTCATTGTGTGATAATTTACAGTAAAAACAAATCTATATGCTACACACTGAATTCCTTCTGAAAAGCTGATGCCACATAGACGTAATACATATATAACATGACACGTAGACAAATTTATTTCTGGTACTTGTGTAAATGCGTTTTTAAATGAGACCCAGTAGACTCGATTATCAGAAGAATCATGTAAAGCATATTGCAAGTGCTTCAACACATTGCAATCAGAGTCGACACAATTTTCGTTAAAAACTTAGACATACTAGTTCTTAACAAGTGCCGCGGAGTGACAGCGCTCATCTAAAGTCTACTGCAGTGACTCTGTGGTGGAGTGGTGGGATTCTAGTAAACCCTGTTAGTCCCAAATGTGTTCACATACACGCCGAAACAGTGGAAGGCACAGGGATGGTATCAGGAACCTTCTCAAAGGAATGTTCATTGG